TTGGGCTCTCTGCTCAGCAGGGAGCCTGCTTCCTTCTCTCTCTCTCTCTGCCTGCCTCTCTGCCTACTTGTGATCTCTCTCTGTCAAATAAATAAATAAAATCTTAAAAAAATAATAATGACAAGTCAGAAGGTTTCAGCATGATGACCTAGCAATCAAAAGCTTTCCTACAGAAGATTTATCAAGAGGAAGGATGCTAGACATCAGCATTAAGGACTTGAGCTTAAGTAAAAACATCAAAAGAATTAAGAATAATAATTATGTGACACTATCATTATTGTCTATAATATTCTTCTATATAAACTTTTTTTTACTGTTTTTGAATAGAAAGGGTAACTCTAAAGCTAATGTCACCTCTATGACAAAGTTACGCTTACATACAACTCTTTTTTGTGTTTGAAAGCATTGTTCAATTTAAGATAGGATTCTCTTAACTATTTATGAGTCACAAATTTGTGATTTAAATCATGAATTTTAAACAATAATAAAATAAGTAGTATCCAATGAGACATTTCCTGGTGATGGTGAGACATTAGAAGCAAGTTAGATAGCAAAGAAAAGTCACATTTTAACGTAAACTGTTTAGGAAAATCTGTATTCTAGATACTGTATTTTCTGGCAATCAAAGGATGACTATACTTGAAACAGCACTCAAAGAATGGTTTAAGTTTAGATGTGTTTATATTTGGTAATAAACAGAGATTCCTATAAACCTGACTTGATTAAATGGTTGTAAAAATAATTCCCTATTAAATCAGTCATTTCATTTTTAATCACTGTAAGCTCATTCTGGAGAAAATATTTGAATATCTATCATCATTTCTTAGTCATTACTTAGAAAATGAATGTAGCTTATAGATTTTAGTGCTTTCCAGAAAATGCAATTCTAAAGCACATAAAAAAGCTCATGGCTTTAAGAAATAAAAGGTTTTGCATGACTATTTACCAAAAAGTACGAGCTATTACTTTGTAAAATCAAATGAATTCACATGTAAGATTTTGTATCCTTAATTCTGATTTTTAAAAAAATCTGTCTATAAAATATTACAGTACATTTTGGCTGAGGTAAAATTTCAAATCTCAAAGGTATACTTTTTTTCACATTACTTTTTTATTTATTCAATCACCATGACTACTCACATTCAACTCTTCGCACCTGCAGGTGAATCAAAGCCAAGTTCTAAGATGTTTTGGCATCTTACTTCTTCATAGGGGAAAAGAGAAAGTCAAACTCTGGTTTTTGCTGACCTTAAATTATAGTGTACATGAAAAGCAGCAGATACATATTATTTTTTTCCCTTGGTCTGTTTTAATCTCACTGACTGTTGTCTTCATGAGAACCTACTTATAAGATGAGTTGGGTATACAATAAAGGGAAATAATTTTGCTGGTGCTTCAGGACCCATTGGCTGATCTAACTGTAATAAATTGTGATATATCTTTTATAATTACGTATAGTAGATGACTGAATAATGCCTTCATCATATATTCCTGAACTGTTTAAGTAATCATGTCTGCTATTGTAAGCTTTATCGGAGACTAATGGACTGCAATGTGAGTTATGAGTCCTCAGCTGAAGCTCTTAGTATAATATGATACTTAACTTTCTTGCCACAAAGGTTACATGATATGTGAACATCATGAAAATATGTGTGCATGAACATATGACTATTGACTGATAATTTTTGTTTTTTTTCCAGCATAAGTAATGAAAAAGTACTTCATGTATTAACAACTAAGTTTATGTGTTACCCATCCACAAAAGAAAACATTTTTTTTAGAAAATATATGTAGTTTAATTGATGAGATGAGATTAGAAGCTTATAATTGTTGGTATAAATTTATAATAATATACATATTTATTTATCCAAGTCCTGAACTATTACTCATTCTTTTGCATCTTTTTTGGGTGCCTGAAAAATGGGATTTTTTGTTAAATTTCCTATACTATTTTGTTAAAAACAGATTTATTAGCAATAATAGCAATAAAATAGTATAAAACAGCATAAAAACAGTATAAAACAGTAACAGATTAATAGCAATAAAACAGTATGATTTGAAGCTACAGTATCTTAGGGGACTTGATTTTTCTTTTTATCAACTGTTAAAGCAAGTTCATGTGTAAGGGAATTTGTTTCTAGTAACTATATAGCAAAATGAAGTTAAACACATAATAAATTTCACTTTCATTAGATATAGTCACTCTGAGTGAAATTTATATTGTTTGATGTCTGGACACTTAGATGACCTTATAGAAAACCTTTGTAGACATTCTGTTGTAACTGACTGTAAAATTCAAAGACCACAGATAACAAATCACAGTGAGGGTGGAGGAAGATGTGCTAATTGGAATAGTTGAATATATTATGTTATCCTAAAAACAGAAAAACAAAACAGAACAAAACAAAAAAACCCTACATATTTCTTACATAAAGGGCTGCAATTGAAGAGGGTATAGGGATAGTCACCTAAAAGGAAAAAAAAAAGGAAAAATATAATAAGATATTATAAGATGATGGCTTTTCTGAATTATGTATGTTTTAGGAGATGCAGTCAGGAAGATACTAATAGTGACATAATAAATTGTTTTTGAGAGTGGCTTCCTATATAAAATTGATCATCATAAGGAAATACCACTTCTGGGGGTGCATGGGTGCTCGTTAAGCATCTGCCTTCGGCTAGGTCATGATCTTGGAGTTCTGGGATCAAGCCCCGCATCGGGCTCCCTGCTTGAAGGGAAGCCTGCTTCTCCCTCTCCCATTCCCTCTGCTTGTGTTTTCTTTCTCACTTTGTCCCTCTCTGTCAAATAAATAAAATCTTAAAAAAAAAAACCACTTCTGAACAAAAACCAGCTGAATAAATATGTTAGGCAGATGTTGAGGATAAATTTATCTTAATCTAAAAAAATATGTTTAATTTGCATATTTAATATATTTAATGTATTATTCTTTCAATTAGTTTTAACATAAAAATAGTGCCTAAAATATCTTGCAGAGGAAAGCTATTTATATATTTTCTTCTTGTGAGGCAGGTTGAGGTCTTTTACATGTATTAATCATAGAATGAACACATCACTTTTCACCATTTTAGGGAGGCTATAAAGCATTCTCATATCATTGAAATTGAAAAAGAGATTCCTATGCCAATTAGCTGATTTGTCTTTCATTTAACTTTTCTGATGTTCAAAAGTGTGGATTTCACTGAGGACTATAAATAATAAGGAAATTGAAAATACTCATCTACTTTTAAACTTTGAGATTGAACCCATGACAAATGCATAAAATAATTATAAATTTAATGTTTGATTTAGCAATAAAACTAAAAAACATTTGTCTTGGAAGATTGTATCATCATTCTTAGGGGAAACTGTTGGGGATCTGTAATGTTAATAATTAGATCTATATTCTAACCCTATTTTTATACCATACTATGTGCTGTACTATTCGTATTAATTAAATGTCTATATTTGGATGAAAACTTTAAAACTTCACTCAATTCTATTAGAACTAAGAGTTTTTATTAAACACATTAAACAATGAACAGAGATGCTGTCATGTTTTGTTTTTCTTTGTAAATCTCAGATTATTTTCATATGGGTAATGCTACCTTATTTAACAATTAGTCATGATTCATTTGCCTTTATAATAAATTTATTTTATTTTACCTTGAGGTAATTCTATCTTCTTTAATTCTCCTGTAATTCCTGCCTTTTATTAGTATTGCCACTCTGAAGTTTTATGTATTTTTTATTTACTTGACTGTTAATGACACATATCTGAATTTGAGTTTTAATGTAGTCCCCAAATCTTTGTTTTAGTGTGTTGGTTTAACTCATTGATATTAATTTTGATAAATTATAGGTTGGACCTTATTTCTCTCACCTTTTGGGTATTTTTCATGTTTTCATGCCAAATTTGTTTTATCTTTTTTCCCCCGTTGGCTTTTTCTGTATTTCAAAATTTGTACTTTTTTCTGAATATATTTAACATACATATACTATTTTCACTTAAACACAGACACATATACATATTTGTAAACTTTTCATGCTAATAATATCAAAGCAATAAGATGATGCATTTCATTCCTTTTTCTACCCCATCACTCATTCAATAGTTGTGACTATAATATATAATTAAGATACATGTCATTACTAATTGCAGCTTATTTTCATTTCCTTTTTATGACTGATGATTCTTACATGTGCTTTCATTATCATGATGGTAGTAACGATTACTTATCATTAAATATAAGTTTTCATAGCTTTATTGATATGTTCTTTCTCTTGCTTTTTTTTTTTTCATTTTTTAATGGGTTTAGAAAAATTCTGGGTAAATCAAATTTTGAATAATTTTCCAGGAGATTTTATGGGTGTCTTATTTCCTCCATCTTTATTTATCTGATATTTTATTGTTTTTGATTTTACACAGGAATAATAGTATATTTGGTTAAAATACTCAAAGTATTTATTCCTTTAAATTCTATTTACTCAATAATACTTTTTATTGCTTGGAACTAATGTCAAGCTCCCACCCTACTCCACTATGAAAACCTTTTTTTTTTTCTTCTTATATGCTCTAGTCACATTACTTTTTCTTCAAAGTACACTTAAAATATCAGGATATATCTTGAGAGAGGTCAAATTTTGTACACTTGTTATTTAGACAATGAGATATTAAGGAGAATTTTCTTCTCACTCTGGTTTCTTCTTTTGTTACTGTGTATCCCATCATACCCTGTTCTCTAATTCTAGAATATTTATCCTTATAAAGCATTCCTTCTTTATTGTTTTCCATTATTTATATTTTTTGTAATTGGATCATTATTTACCCTTGTCTAAAGGACAGTAATATTCTGATATTATATTGAAGTATTTGGATGTTATCGAAAAAATACATGCATACATGTTTTAAAAAATTTGTCTATAAGCTCTTTCCTTTCTCTCTCCCGTCCATTTTGGCAGCTGCTCTTGGCTGGGGCTGTCCCGTACCTAAGGCAGGAAGATGGTGGCCGCAAAGAAGATGAAAAACTCGCTGGAGTCGATCAACTCTAGGCTTGAGCTCGCTATGAAAAGTGTAAAGTGTGTGCTGGGGTACAAGCAGACTCTGAAAATGATCAGACATGGCAAAGCGAAGCTGGTCATCCTCTCCAACAACTGCTCGGCCTTGAGGAAATCTGAACTAGAATACTACACTATGTTGGCCAAAACTGGTGTCCATCACTACAGTGGCAATAATATTGAATTGGGTACAGCCTGTGGGAAATACTACAGAGTGTGCACGCTGGCTATCATTGATCCAGGTGATTCTGATATCAGAAGAAGCATGCCGGAACAGACTGGTGAAAAGTAAATCACGTAGAATTTTTCTTTAATAAAACTGGCCACAGCTTGTTTCAAACACACACACACACACACACACACACACACACACACACACACACACACACACAATTTGTCTATATGATCATTCTTGACAGAAAGCTTTGAACAACTCTTCGGAGTTGATAAAATGCTTGGATCTGGCAACTATACAAAGAAGCAACACAGATGCAGTGGATGAAAGCATTGTCACCAGAGTCAGGCAGTCGAGGAGACTGTGCCATTCTTTACCAGATACGTGACCTCAGACAAGTAACTTAAATTTTTTTGTTTAATCTCTATTTATTTATCTATAAATGGAGATAAATAGACCTGCCTACCAAGTGAATAAAAATAGCTCAGGGTAATTTTTTTAGAGACCCTCTAAAGAAGAGTATTACATATCAGAAAATACTACTTGCTAGATTTATTTTTCTCTGAATTTTTAAATTAGTTTTCTCTGAAGGACTTTTCTCCTGTCTAAAAGTACTACCACTAAAAGAAAAAAAAAGTGGGGGGGGAGCCCTCCTTATTTAATCCAATACAAAATCTGCATTAAATTCCTTTATAATTACATTTATTTCAACTTTTTAAAAATCACATAAGCACAAAGAAATGATTAATAAAAATAGAAAGTGTGACTCAAATATGTATGAGATAAGATGAATAAAATATTGGCAAAAATTAGTGAGCTTTCCTTCCTAAAATTATTTACTAATGCTGTATATTTTTCCTATTATTATGATAAACATACTAGGAAAAGTCAATCCTGCTAACTGTGGGCATAATGCAAATCAGACCCTGCAAATATTTTTGTTTTCCTTCTTTCATCTTAGGAAATAATTTCCCAGAATTTTTTTCATAGAGGAGTTCAAGCAGGATTCCTCATCCTAATTTGATGATGATTATCAATCTAAAAAATGCATCAATAAAAAGGCAATATATAATAGTTATAACTAAACTTTGGGTTTTTCCAAGAGCAAAACTCATCACTATACAGCAATAGAGACTTGGGCTTTTGTTCTTGTAGTAAAGAATTGATCTAAACTCCACATCCTTCACTGGATTCGTTCAGTATTTTCTTTGGCACTTACGTTTTGAAATGTGGCAGAGTAGTTTTAAACTCGGTATCTGATGGAAACTGTTGAGTGCCAAAGGACCCACAATTTGAACTGACAGTGCTCCCATTAAGGAGGTCAAGAGTTAAAATTTCATAATGTTTTTTAAAATAAGAGAGATTGACAGAGTACTGACCCATACAATTAGAAATTTGGCATAGAAAAAAGTGAGGCAGACAAGCTGGAAAAGAACCTAAAATACTGATCCTAAAGAAGAGAAAGAAAGGTAGATTACTTTCCAGAAAGCAAAGACTTTAAATTTATTGAGACAGTGTTTCCTCCTAATATCCTTTTTTATTTTTAAATGCTATACTGTTACTGTTATTCTGTCAAATATATTAGAAAAGTCATTGCTGCCATTCTGCGAATATTTTTGCTTTCCATCATCATCTTAGGAAATTACTGTTTGGAATTTTTTTCATAGAGAAGTTTAAACAGGGTTCCTCATCTCAAGTTGATGATTACTATTACTCAAAAACAAAACAAAACAAAACAAAACAAAACAAAACAAAAAAACAAACCCACAAAAAACCTTTCGCATCAAGAGAAACACAATACACAATAGCGATATTGTTATAATATGCTAGTTGTACATTGTTGTCATTACTGTTGTAAATACTGCTGTATGACTGTGATAATAAGTAGTGAAATCTAGATTTTCCAAGTTAAAAACTTCTAAGGAAAAGAGAGTGGTGAACATAATGGAGATGAAGTTTACAAGTGATTAGTGTGCAAAGGATGTTCTTTGATAGTTTTGTATTTCGTAACTTTAATCTTCAGCAGAAAAATTGGGGCAATTGTTAACCTAGTATAAGGCAAATTTTACAATTATTTTTCATGTTTTACCTTTCTCTTTTTTCTCGTTCAAAATTGTTTCCCTTTTCCTCCTATTTTCTTCAATGATCTATTATTTATAAGAGTCTAAGTAATCAATTTAGAATGTTTCTAGATTAAGTTAAAAATTTATTTTAGGAATATGGTATAGAGGATTTGATCAAGGTTATAAAACTGAGTTTAAAATATTAAATAAACTTGCCTAAAACTCCAAATTATATAATTTACTAGGAAGTAACATAATATAAAAAGGGATAATGTTTTACAATACAAAATAATGATTTTATTGCACTGTGATTTTTTTATATTTTCCAATGAGTTTATGTATATTTTTAGGTTAGATAACATATGATACACATATAATAGGTTCTCTAATAGTTAATGATGTTTTCCTTTTTCTATAATTTGGCAATCAACCCAACTAGCTGCTATTTACATGACTCCTGTGGATAAATTATTTTATTATAAAAGCATTAAGATAAATCATACTTTGATATAGAAAAAATTGCTAATGTAATTAGTAATTGAAAGTAAAATGAAATGACGTGTATGGAGAGAGGATGATGATGTATTTGGTATGCCGTATTTTCTTAACATGCTGTTTCCATCCTAGTTTTTATATTGCTTTCCTGAATAATCCAAGGTCTCAACATTCTAAAATTACCAAAAATAAGTTATTTCATAAATTAGATGCCTAAAAAAGTTTTTTTTTCAGATTTTCATCTTTAAGGTATCTATTTTTCTTTAACAATTATAAATAATTCTATTTTTAAATTCTGATTTACAACTATTTTAACTCCATTGTTGAAGATGCACTGTCATAAAAACAGCCCATGTGGGAATGTTTCTAAACCCTGGAAAGATTATGTTCTGAACATAAATTAGTGTGTAATTGAGGTTAAGATTAAACTGCTTCTCCGCAAACCTTTTCTCTCAAGGTATCATGTTATCTTTCAGTTTTGCTTCTTAAAAATAGAGCCCTTCATTTCTCTATTGCCATATTTCACTTACTGTTACGTGGTCATGAACTGAAACTAAAATATAAATGGAATAAAACCTCATATTCTTCTTGTTCATTAACAATCCTCTAATACATGTTTTATTCAAATTATTCCAAGCTGATCAACACCCTCATTATATAGAATTTGATCTGGCAGTTCAAAAGATACTATAGTCACTTCTCTTTAGCTATTTTTTCACAGGATAATATGCTAACGGTAAATTTCAGTAGGAAAACCAGTTTTTACACACAGCAGGACAAATCACAGAATCCTCCCAATTGTAACAGCTTGAAAGTTAAAGATGAAATTTTTAATGGTGTTGTTGTCCAAAGAAAAGGAACAAAATAATCTATTCAGTTATTAAAGTTACTCCTTAAAGCCTGACAAAGGGTTTCCCACCTATATTTTGTGTGTACCTGCTCTAAGCATAGAAGTAATAATCCTTTCATAATATTATTTGATTTTTTTTTTTTAAAGATTTTATTTATTTATTTGTCAGAGAGAGGGAGGGAGAGAGAGCAAGCGAGCACAGGCAGACAGAATGGCAGGCAGAGGCAGAGGGAGAAGCAGGCTCCCTGATGAGCAAGGAGCCCGATGTGGGACTCGATCCCAGGATGCCGGGATCATGACCTGAGCCGAAGGCAGCTGCTTAACCAACTGAGCCACCCAGGCGTCCCATATTATTTGATTTTATTCTTCATTTAAATCGAAGATTGATATGGAGTAATCATTATTTTCCCCATCAGTTTCCTTATCTGTAAGAGCTCATACAGATGTTGTTTATTATCTAACGAAAGTGTTAAAGTTGTACATTGTGACTTTTCCCCGTGTTGTGGAATCATCGTCATTGTTATCATCATGTGATTTTGCTTTTTGTATTTTCCAAAGTTTCATCAGTTACAATGTATACACTTTCATACACTTTGCAAAATTTTGAATATAATTGATTATACTGCATGTGTTATTTTCATTCTGTTCTTGTTCATTGAATCCTTCCTATCCATTTCATGTTTTCTCTCATTCTAGATCAGAGGAGAATTACTATGTTACATCTAATACATCTTTTAATTGTAATATTAGGAACCATAATAAGTTATCAGTCAGGTGGTAACAGGGATTGTGAAATTAGATTCTTGCAATTAGAATCTGAACTATATAATTTATTAGTGTATTACCTGGACAACTAATCTAACTCTGCTTAAGGTTTCTCACCTATTAAAATGTGAAAAGTAGCACTGTCCACTGCATGTGGGTGTTCTGAGGATTAAAGTAAGTAATCCAATCAAAGTCCTTAGCATATAGCAAATACTTAATAGTTCTAGCTCTTCTTCTCTCTCTCCTTTGTCAATTACTACTATTGCTACGACTACGGCTATTTTCAGGTGAACTGCTATTACAAGTACCAATACCAATGCCATCTTTTAACACTAAATTTAATACTATATTCTAATGAGCAGAAAGTCAGATTTTTCTCAGTATAATAGCCTACAGTTTCATCCATGTTGCTGCAAATGGCAGAATTTCTTTCTGTTTTTTTAAGACTGAATAACATTTTATTGTGTACACATACCAAATTTTCTTTATCCATTTATCCATTGATGGACATTTATGAGGCTTCTGTGTCTTGGCTGTTGTGAATATTGTTGCAATGAACATGAGGGTACAGATATCTCTGATATCCTGATTTCATTCCTTTGGGTATGTACCCAGAGATGGGATTGCTGAATCATATAGTAGTTTTATTTTTTTATTTCCTAAGGAATCTACATACTGTTTTCCGTACTGGCCATGAATATACATTCCAGCCAACAGCGTACAAAGCTCTCTTTTCTCCACATCCTCATCAACAATTGTTTTCTTTTTTTAATTTAAAAAAAGTACTTGAGGACAACTAACCTATTTGGTGTAAAGTGAGAGGTTATTATGGGATTTGCATTTCCCTGATGATTAGTGATGTTGAGTGAGTCCTTTCCATTTACCTATGCCATTTGTATGTCTTTATAGAAATGTCTATTCAAGTATTTTGCCTTTTAAAAATCACATTACTTGGGGGACTTGCTATTGAGTTCCCTACACATTTTGG